GGCAGACAGAGAAAAATCTACAGACAGTGCTTACAGGCAGGGGGATGAGAGCAAACACAAAACTGACAAACACAAAAGCAATAAATCTCACCCTATAATACATTTGAGCCGCTTAGAGGTGAGGTGCTGAGATATTCTCGAAATAATAGCTGCTCAATAGTATTTTGGATGGGGTGGAGCATAAGGTTGTTATCATTTCTAACCCCCCAACATTGGGGGAAACATATATAGAAGAGAAATTCATGGAAATATATCACAATCTTCCTTTGCAAATCCCATGAGCTCACGGGCCTGCGGCTGGGCGGACCCTGACCAGCTCACCGGAGAGACCAGGGGGCGAGCAGGCCCACAGTCAGGGGGAGCAGCAGGATGGGATCCAACGGCCTTCCCCCCACGTCCTGGGGCAGGACCAGAAGCCCCCATCCATCAGGACGAAGGGGGCCTGGGGGGACTTCTTTGGACTTCAGAACCCAGCTGCGAATGTCGTCTAAAGGAGGCTGAAGGTCAGCAGCCGACGACTATTGCGAGCTTTTATTAAATCTCAAATCCCAGGGACATAAACTACATTTATCCCCAGAAGTCATGTTAGCATTACATGCAAAAAAAAATTTAAATAGAACTTAAAAAACAAACAGCCAGGAAAACAAGTCAACCCCAGGAAGAGCCCTAACTAGGGAGGCCTATTCAGCGGGGCCAGCCTTGGCCCTCGCGCCTGTTGGCTGGGGAGGGGCGCCACCTGCAGGCCGTCCCCCGTGACTGCGGCCTTAAGGCCCGGGCTCGCACCGCCAGGATCCAGAGTTTGTGTTTCTTCAGCTGTTGCTCTGGCAATCTGCACAGGGACGTGGTGATGCAAAGTCTTGCAGATATTTTTTCATGCAGTTCAGCTATAGAAGCCGATGTCTGCATCTGCGCCATTTATACTCTGTAGTTACACAGCGCTGCGAGCTGCTTGTCCTACATAATATTTCCACCTTACAAACAGGAGCTATTTTCAGGTGCATTTAACACCGAAAGAAAGCGTCATCCATTTTCATGTGAGATTTTGAAAACGTTTAGTTCTAAAAGTTTTGGCATCCAAGTTTATAACGCACTTTTGTAGCTTTTCTACGGAGGCACTGGCCACAGCGCTGCTTCTCCCCTTTGAAGGTCTAAGGCCTGGAGGACAGGTGAGCCCCAGCGGGTGCCCAGCGCCCACAGTGCCGCCGCGTCTGCTCACGGAAGTCATGAGCTGCTCTGAACAAAGGAGGGATGCCCGTGGGTGGGCAGGCGCGAGGTGTCGTCAGTGTTTGTCTTAAGGCCCGACATGCTCCTGCCACACTTCAGATAAGCTGCAGGTGCAGTGAGGGGGGTTGAGCCCAGGAGTGGCAGGTGGCGGCGGAGGGCTGCTGCCACTTCACAGACACGGCAGCCCCTTTGACAGGGAACCAGGTGAGTGGAGGTGGGGAGAGCAGCACTCCTGATAATATAGTATGTTCACATGTGTGTCTGTGTGTTCATGCATGGTTCTGTGTGTGTCACATAGCATGTGTCCGCACACACCATATGTTAGTAGCTATCTGCTTTACTTATGAGTGCTGATTTCAAGGAGGAAACTCAGAAAGACCATCAGTTCGTGAAAGGCAGAAAGCTACCATGTTCAGGGGCCTCCCTGGTGGCCCAGGGGTTGAGTCTCAGAGCTATCACTGCTGAGGCCTGAGTTCGATCCCCGACCAGGGAGCTGACCCACCAGGCCGCAGCAGACCTCTCCTGTCTCCATGCTGCTCCCCTCAGCAGTGGATTTCAGTGGCTCCACCTGTTCTGCTCCCCACTCTGTCTCTGGAGGGTCCTCTCACCCCCTGCACCACTGGCCTGTGCCCCAGTTCTTCCATGCAAAAATAAATAAGATTTTTTTTTTTTAAAGAAAGCTAACATGTTCAGGATTTATTTCATTGATCATAAACAAGCTGAACTATCTCCAGAGTGGTGCTGCTTAACCATTCTCAAACAACACTACTAAGGCATTCAAATAGCACATCAGCATGAACCTTACAAGCATCATCAAACTAAAATTCACCAGTGTGTAACTGAGAGGCGACCCCCTGACACAAATCACAAAAAGATTGTGTTGCACAACATTGTAGCTTGCAAAATAGTCTGTTTTGTTACTGAGGAATATTTTGCCTGTGGAATTCTTGTAGAAATGTTCAAGCGACATTTTTATGGACCAGGAGGGGTATATTTTGGGGGAGCTGTTGTTTTGCACCCATCAGACATTTGTGATACATTTAATAAAATGACTTCTTTGTTCAAGGGACTTGAATTATTCATTTTGCTGAGTTCTTTCCTGTTGGAGCTTCTCACAAAGCAACTCTGGCTGTTTGACTTTCTAAACAGTCTAAGTGATTCCAAACTCTTTTAAAAAGAGAAATGAACAGCAGAACCGCAGCTCAATAAAGAAAGGCCTGTTTCTCCCCCACACCCACACTCCCTGCCAAGGGCCAGCCCAGGAGGAGCAGAGGTGAGCTGTTCATGTGACTGTCACACCGGACTGTGGCATCCAACTCCATGTGTGCCAGGCCAACCTCACGTGTGTGTGCACAGGTAGATGCACACCACAGGTGCACACCACAGATGCACACTCGTAGATGCACACTCAGAAGCACACACAGATGCATACTCAGAAGCATAGATAGATGCACACACTCAGAAGCATACACAGATGCACACACTCATATGCACACACACGATGCACACTCAGAAGCATGTATAGATGCACACACTCAGATGCACACCCAGAAGCACAGATACAATGCACACTCAGGAACATACACAGATGCACACTCAGATACACACACATATGCACACACACACCCTCTAAATAAAACGCCGACTACCAACTCGGAGTTCCTCCTGAAAGATTAGGAACACAGAAACGCTTTTCTCTCTCACAGCTTGCCGGGAACACTCAGCCGTGGCTTCCAATCTGACACTTTTCCTCCAAGAGAAATCATGCCCCGTGAGTGGTGCTGAATCAAGGGGAATGAAACGCTGAGGAGACGCCGGGTTTGCAGCACCGCGGGGGCTGGGAGAGCCCCTCCGGCGCGAGCCTCCCGATGTTCTGGCTTTGAAGTTTTCCTCTACAAAATGAGGGGATTTGATAAAAACGCTTCTAACGCCCTGGAAGCTATGATTTATGTTTCTGTTTAAGTCACTGTTGCCTGGGCCTCCAACCTGCGTCTCAGTGTTCTATTTCCCTGCTGAATTGATGTTGTTTGGGAAGGTAGTAAACCCCCAAATAGCTCCTGACTTTAAATAAAAACCAATTTTCATGAGGGCTCATAACACTTGACCACCTTGTTGTTTTCTCCTGTTCAACAGGACAAACTCTGTCCTCCTAGTGCAACCTTTGCAAGGAAATTGAAAGCGGCTCATTACAAGATAGAAAATGATCCAACGCTAACACCTGGCCTTCTCCGCCTCTGCCACAGCGCACCTGACAACAGATGTGGCCCCGAGGTCATCCCGTCACAGTCAGAGGTTGTCCCGTCACATCTCCAACTACTTCCGGGACGTCAGTTCCATTCAGACCTCCCCCCACGCCCCCAGGAAAACCCTGCGTCTCCAGCGTCTCGGGGTAGGGTAAATGAACTAACCAGGCTTTTCACGCCACTAGCCTCGGTGGCTGCGACCTGCGCCCTTGCCCGTGGTGAGCGCTCTTGTGAGAGGAGCTGAAGGATGCTTGGGCAGAGGGTGGGTCTGAGGAGGAGGTGACGCGGATTGGGAGTGTGGGTGTGGGTCATGCGTGCCTGTTTGTGAACACCTGGAGCACGGGTGTGAGCATGCGTAAGTGTGCACACCTGGGCTGGTGGGGGTGGGGCTAGAAGCAGTGGCAGCAGCCAGGAGGATGAGCGGCATGATTACAGGAGAGGAGAGACCACGAGGCCACAAGAGAGAGAGGGAAAGAGAGAGAGAGGGGGAGAGAGAAAGAGAGAGAACGCCAGACAGTCCAGAGAAACAGCGTAAAGATCTGCCGGGGCTGGGAGGGCCTGGACACCCGCCTGGCCCGGGCCTGCCTCCTTGCCTGCCGGGGGCGCCTGGGCACCGAGGCCAGAGTAGACCGCCCTGTGCCTGCTGGCACTATCACTGGAGTCTCCACATCGTGGCCTGACTAGCTCTCCACCTTCACCTCCTCCTCAGACCCACCCACTGCCCAAGCATCCTTCAACTTCTCTCCCAAGAGCGCTCAGCAAATTGTGAAAATGCACACTCCTCTTGACTCCAGTGCCAGTGCCCTGGAGACCAGGTGTGGACGGTACCAGACGTGAATCCGCATCTCTCCTGGAGGTGACTTGCCTCCTGGCCCCCACCTCCTTGCCAGAGAGGGCAGGACCAGGGTTCCTCACTCCCTGCCCCCAGCCCCCCGCCTTCTCCCCTGAATGGAGGCCACTTCTCATCTCACCCTAGTCTAAGTGGGACCTGACCGAGTGTGCAGACGCACGGCACCAGCAGCGGGTGAAATGCACAGATGGGAGTAATTCCCAGACCCCCCAACAACATCATCCTCACCTCCTTCCCTCCTGGGACTGTCGCTCATTGAGCAAACACTGTCTGTGTCCAGCACAGAGACCAGTCTACGTTCTGCGTCTATGTCCCTCGTCACCTACCACGGAACCTCCCGTTACGAAAAAGAATTGCCCAGATTACATTTCCCATCATTCCAAAGATGACCAGAGCTTCAAAATGCCTAACATTCTCTCCAAAGTGCCCAGAAGGAAAAGTGTGTCTGATTTTCTTGTTCTCATCTGCAGACCACGCCACGGAAACAGAAGTTGATGCGCACACAAGCCTCACAACCTTCTCTCACCCAGCTGGACAACTGGTTCTGACCCAACAGGAGCCAATTACTCTCTTTAGTTACAATTTCTTCTCTGAAAGCAAACAGGGGCCAGTGGAGACTCTCAAATGCGATCTCGACCTGGGAGAGCGGGCACCGGGGAAGCGGGGCTCGTGCCTGAGCTTACCTGTGAGCACGGAGGTGGCCCAGGTGAAGCCCGTCTTTGTCTTCAGCAGAGAGCCCGTCCAGCAACAGGTAGAAAATGAGAAAATTGCTCTGGCCAGGAGACTGTGCAACCAGTCTGGATTTCTCTAGCATGTATGTATAAATTCTGGCTGGGGAAGAAAAGGAAATGGATTCTCTTAAATGGCATTCTTAGAGTTTCATTTCCAGAAATTTACACATGTCCATTATACATCTTTTCAAACACAGATATGCTTTTAACAAAATTACTGGGCCTTATTTTTTAAAGCATTTTTTTTAGGTCCAGAGAACATGAAGCAGAAAGTATGGAGAGTCCCAATATACCCTCTCTGTCTCCTCCCCAAACCTGATTTTCCCTATTAACATCTCGGTTATTAAAAAGGAGGAACCAACATGGATATGTTGATATTAGCGAAAGTCTATAACTTACACCTGTGTTTGAAATTCTATTGGTTTTGGGAAATTCGTAACTTCACATGTCTGCCCTTGTAGCATCACACACAACAGTTTCACTGCCCTAAATCCCCGGCACGCCATCTAGTTACCACCCCCCACCCCAGCCCCTGGCCACCACGGATCTGGTCACTGTCTCTGTAGATCTGTCTTTTCCAGAATGTCGCAGAGTTGGAGTTATATAAACTTTATACTATATAGCCTTTCCGAGTTGGTGTCTTTCACTTAAAAACATGTGTTTTTTGCTTTTTCATGACTTGATAGCTCATTTTTTATCAGTGAGTGATATCCCATTGCATGAATTATGACAGCTTGTCTATCCACTCACCTCCTAAAGGATATCTTGGTTGCTTCAAGTTCTGCAATTATGAATAAAGCTGCCACAGGCATTCGTGTCAACATTATGTAGATGTACATTTCCAACTCAGTTGGGTAAATACCAAGGAGCAAGATTCCTGGGACATATGGTGAGTCTATGATTAGCTTTGCCAGAAACTCCCCAACTGTCTTCGAAAATGGCTGCCTCATTTCGGATTCCTTTCAGCGACAACCAGAGCGCCTGCTACCTTGCGTCTTCACTACACCTTGGTGCTGTCCTTGTTCTGGATTTGCTCGACTCTAATACCTGTGTACCAATTTCCTAATGACACATGATATTGAACATCTTCTGGTGTGGCATTTCCGATCTGTACACTGCTTTTTGGTGAAGCTTCTGTTCTGATATATTGTTCATTCTTAAAATTGGGATGTTTGATTTTGATTATTGAGTTTAAAGAGTTCTTTGTATATTTTGGATAGCAGTGCTGTATCAGATTTGTCTTTATTAGATATCCTAGCCTGTAGCTTATTATTTCATTCTCTTAAAAATGTCTTTCACACAATAGATTTTTTTTAACATACAATAGATTTTTTAATGAAGTCCAGCTCATCAGTTATTTCTTTCATGGGTTGTACTTTTGGTTTTGTGTCTAAAAAGTCATTGCCAGACCCAAGGTCACTTAATTTGAAATGTTTTATAGTTTTGCTTTCACATTTAGATTTATGTTCCATTTTGTTACTTTTTGAATGTCCATGTATATATTCACTTTGTTTTTGCATTTCAATGTCCTGTTGTTCTAATGTGATCTTTTAAAAACCTATCCCGTCTTCATTGAATTGTTTTTGCTACTCTGTCAAAGATCACTGACTCTATTTAAGTTCATCTAGTCTGGGCTCTCTGTTTGTTCCATTTGACTATCTGTCCATTCTTTCTCTAGCGGAAAGCTTTATAATAGGTCTTGAAATTGGGTAGCACCGGTTTTCCAATTTTGTTCTTCTTTCTCACTGTTGTGTGAGCTATTCTGAATCTTTTGTCTCTCCATATACAATTTAGAATGAGTTGGATACTATCCACAAAGGAATTTGTTGGAATTTTTATTGAGATTATGTTGAGTCTATAGATCAAGTTGGAAGAAATACATTTTAACAATATTGAGTCTTCCCATCCATGAACATGGGATATCACTCAATTTATTTAGCTCCTCTTGATGTCTTTCGTCAGAGTTTGTAGTTTTCCTTATAAATATCTTGTACACATTTTGTACTTATACCTAGTATTTCTTTTTTTGGTGCTAAACAGTCTTGTTTTCAATTTCAAACTCCAATTGTTAAAGTTTGTTATAGAAGGAAGCAACTGACTTTTTTTATACTAAATGTGTATCCTGCTACCTTCCTATAATCATGTAATTTTGTCAAATTTCATACAGAGAAAATCATGTCATCTGTAAACAATCACAGTTTGGTTTCTTCCTTCCTAATCTGTATTTCTTTCTTTTTTTTTTAAAGATTTATTTTTATTTATTTATACAAGCACTGGGTACAGTCAGAAGCGTGGGAGGGTGAGAGAATTCACCAGAGCCAGAGCAGGGAGCAGAGCAGGCAGAAGGACCAAAGCACACTGCTGAGGGGAGCAGCGGGCGGCAGGAGAGGTCTGCACGCCATGTGGGACCCTCCCCCAGTGGCCGGGGAGCAGCCGGGGATCAAACCGGTGCTGCGGAGGCTTCGGGCAGCTTCGCAACCCAGCGCTCCACTGCTGCACCACCGGGGAGGCCCCTAATCTGTATTTCTTTTTCTTGTCTTATTGCACTATCTAGGAAAGGAGTTGCACTAATGTTGGAATGGAGTGAGAAGAGACATTCTTACTTTTTCCTCATCTAGCACAAAACTTTCGTGCACAAATATAATCTAAAACAAGATATGCCTTTAGCTATAACAAAGGTACCAAAGGAAGTTTCAGGATTTTCTTGTTTAATGTTTTACAGGTTGAAAGTACCAGTCATACTGCTATGGCATAGATAAGTACTATTGATTATAATGTGCTCTGGGGCAAAGTTAGTATCAGCCAGGTCAGGAGAGTATACACTACATTTTTAAGGGACAAAGTCACAGACTACAGCCTCTGTCATTGCTGAAACACTGGAAGAAACTCACTGTAGCAACGGCAAATATGACTTGAATTTTTGCAGATTCAACTTAATATATAAATTGTATGTTATAAATGCTTCAAGACCTACACTGAAATTATAAAGAGGAGGTAAATCAGGGTTTATGGCACAGTTATAGGTACTAGAACAGATAATTCCATAATAAAGTTTGCATCCCAGGTAGGGGATGGGATAGGTAATTTACCTATAAAGCAACACCCACCCCTTGTAAATTGTGTCCAGTCAAATTCCTGGTTTATTGTGATCCATGTCGCAGCATTAGGACTAACAACTAATATTTATTATTTTGATGTTCTGCCTTCAAAACATGACAAACACAAACAAAAATAGCCAAAATCATAAATACAAGTTGAAATTCATTTCATAGTAGCTGAGCCATGGCAAAAAAATGAAACATGGGAATCGCAATCCTGATTTTGCTTACAGACAAGAAATTGTCTTACAGACTGGAAATTTAGAAGTTGATGTTCATCAAACTTTATGGCTCTCTGTCCTGTCTGCTGAAAAGCCTATTGTTTCTGGAACAGTCTTTTTAATGTAAATTTAGGTTTATTCTTATCATCATGCATGATCAGTAAAAAATAAACATTTGAATTTCAAATGCAAGGTTAGATTAATGCAGATTTCCATTTTGAAGTAAGAATCCATGATCAGCAAAGTTTTTGGCTCAGAATGTATCAATACTTAGGAAGGCACATGGATTCAAATATTCCCTATATTTGAACCATAAACATTGTCATTTCATGTACTAAGTCTAACTAATAAGTGCGCTAGACTCCAGCCTCAGCAAATATGGGAGGTTTCCCAGTCTGGGCTTTGTCCAGCAACTGGAACCACTAATAATGATTACTTTTGCCTCCTATAAATTTCCTAAGTGGTCAATTTAGCCTGTCAGAATGATCATCAGTGCTAAAGGAAAACTTCACTCAAAATTAATACCTCTTATTAGGAAAAGTTGTCTTCTTTGACAAGTCTCAGAAAAAGCTTCTGTTAAATGCATTAAGAGCAACTCTTTCAAAGTATCCTTTTAATTAATGACATTTAAACCACAAGTGATGCTAAAATTGTGTGTGTGGGGGTTACAGGTTCTTTCCTGTTGCCCATGAATGTTTAATCAGGTGGCAATTTTAAGTTGAGGTCTAATTATTAAATTTTCTTTTGTCCTTTTTTCTTCTTAAACAAATTATTTGCTGAAAACATTTTGCATTTAATGTTAATAATATTAAACTCGAAATCGCTTAGCCTCCTAAAAGAGTATCTTTATAAAGCTACATACATGGGAACTGAACTACCATAGTTGCTGTTCTCTGTGATTTTCTGGTCAACAACAAAGAAACACCAGGTAGACTGGAGAGTGGGTGGCGCTCCGACCCCCAGGCTTCTACCTTCACAGGAGGCTGACCTTCCGCCCACTCGCCTCGGTCCAGGTACAAGCTCCACAGCATTCAAACCAAATCAAACCCCACACCACAGAGGGACCTGAATACCATTCATCGAAATTCAGGAACTGTGGTATTAGCAATTATCCTAGTTAGCGCAGCTCCAGCAGTGAACAAAATTGATGTGGATTAGCGAGTCTGATCAGTAGGATTTTAAAAAATATATTTCTTGGAGAAGCATTTAGATGGAGGGGAACACAAAATAGTGAAAACTTCATTTCCCTGAGACTGATGTTCTTGCAAATGGAGAAAATCCATGCCTTTTTGTTAAAAGTATAATAATGGAAGGAAAACGCTAGATCCAGGTTTCTGACTCATCCGCGTGAGCGTTCCTCCACAGCAACGACTTCCTGCTAAGCCATTTCTCGCTAACCCAAGTCTCAGGACTTGTATGTTTGAAAAGATCTTTTATATCAGAAATATTCTTAACTAGAAATACAGTCATGATGCTCTACCCTTCCAAATAACTACATATAAACACACGTTTCTCAAACAGTTTGGGTTCTGTAAAAACATACAAGTTTGAACATTACCTGTGGCATCAGATGCCATAATGGACGCTTAGATCTGCGCCAAGTTTGGTTGAGTGTAAGTGAAGTGGAGAAGATAAGACAATCTCTCCTTTAAGAAACATGAATGTTTGGTTGCACTGCCCTTCCATTGACTTCCAGAAACTTCTAGCGCCCCGCCCATCTGTCCCCCGTCCATCTGTCCAGTTATAAACACACGTCCAGTTAGAATCTCCTCCCCAACAGC